AACCTTTTTATGACGGCGATGCATTCATAATTACCATCGTTACACGTTGGCCTGGATGGACTAACGATTTGCGCATTTCTGAGAACGGCAAGATCGCAGAGAAATTTAGGGAAACTAATGATGGCATTCCAGTAGGTGATAGTAAATATGCTTGAGCTTGTAGGGTGTTTTTAATGACACTAATCCTCAAGCCAAAGAATCGTGAAGAAATGTGCTGTATCATAGGCGCACTAAGTTTGTTATTGACAGATGCCTCAGTTTACTAAAGCGACGATTTTCATGTCTGGACTTAGGACTGCACACAGCCCTTGAGAATACTCTTGTCATTCTTGAAACGATGGCACGACGTTTAAAATCTTTTCCTTTCTTTGAATGTGGTTGCAACCACCTCCAGGATCTTTGAATTTGATTTACGTCCCGTTTCATCGCATGTGGATTGTAGAGAGTTAAATTTTTTTCTCAATTTGCTCCCTGGTTTACGCCTTTTTCGTCAATGTCGCATTGTCATATGCTTTTACTCTCTGTATCTGAATAATCTTCCCGATTCCATTAGGAAAAGGTTTTCTCCTGATGCTAAAATTTTCTCTTCTGCCGGATTTTGAGTCCATGTTTGTTAAAACCTTCAAACGGTGCATGTAAATCACTCAAAAGACAGTGTATTCCCCAGTAAGACATAGTTTAGCCCTTGACCGCGAAAAAACACAGGGTTTGGCTTAAACAATGTCCAACTTAGAGTTAGTGTTTTATATCATACAGGCTCCGGTTGTTCAAAGGGCGGATAACGCTATCCAACCGATAAATCGCTATCCAGTGGATAAGTGTTACGAAAACGTACTGCGCTATCCACCGTATAGAGATTTATCCAGTGTATAGCGTTATCCATCCTTCGAACAACCGGGGCCAGAACTTTCAATTTCCATGCGAAAGTTTATATAACCTGAGGAAAAAAATTGAATGCAGTGAGCTTTCAACCATTACAATATTTGACACAATTTGTTTGTAATTCTCTTAGACACACCAGAGAATGTGCAATTTACAACATCTGCCATGGATAACAAAGCATGTACGGGTGACATGATTAGCTTTAACTGCTCAGCCGATGCTAATCCAGCGGTGACATCATACCAGCTGTTTGAGAACGACACTGCTATCTTAGACGTAACCCGTTTAGGAGTGTGGAAAAGACACGTGTCAATGGGCGAAGTGTTCATGTACAAATGTGTGGCCAACAACTCTTTAGGATCAGGAGTCAGCTCAGATGTTATGGTGACAGTGAATGGTAAGCTTAACTGTACATACTGAGGCTGTAAAACTGTTTTCTTGCTTTCACTCGCCAGTTTACATCATTGGCTTAGCTGTTTGGCATATTGGAACAAATCATTTTGTATGTAGACTCAGGACATTTAAAGGTTAGAGTGAGAAAAGGGGTTTTACAGATATTGACAAGAGCGTTTCAGCTTTGCCCTTGTCCTTGTCAGATGATTCAGGTACAAAACACATAAAAGAAATTCCATTTTAATGATGTGCATTTTCGTACATTCAATTTCATTACGGTTACCAGAGTCACCTAATTAAATAAGCAGAAAAGCTGTGAGTCCAATAAATTTAATTTAATTTCCATTAACTGCTTTGAACCATAGAAGGCAAAAAGTGAAGAATACTTTGGATGCATACATATGGCGCGATCCTCGCAGTAGAATAAATAGCGCTATCTACTGCAAGGATCGTGCCATATGTATCTAATACCGCAGTACAAAAAAAAAAAAATATATGAACTTCATATATTTCATTGTATCTCACTTTGGATGCAATCACTCAACCAGTTTGTTACAGGGGACCCAGCAATGGCTATTGTTCATGTTTAAGATAGCGATGTATTTTTACATAAAAATGTGGTGAATTAATACATTTACAAAAAATATTTACTGACGGAAGGTTTTGATTTGGTACATTCTCTACTTTTGTGTTTGTCCACAGTGCCTTCAACTATCGAAACAATTCAAGATCAGAATGTAACTGAAGGTGAAACTGTAGATCTGACATGTGCTGCATCTGGAATGCCTCAGCCAAACGTGTCTTGGATTAAGCCCAATAATCAAAGTGTTGCTGGAAATGTGTTGAAGCTCGAGAACATTAGCAGGAATGAAGCTGGTCAATACAAATGTGAAGCCAGTAATGAATGTGGTAATGCAACAGCGATGGCAAGCATTGATGTGCATTGTAAGTAATTGCCTACAAAGGGAATTTATGTATTTTGCATACCTGTCAGTGTTTTCATTTTCAACTCAATTGGTGTCGTGTCTTTATTAGAAACCCACTTAGCAATGCACAGTACTTGTCCTTGATGGGTATGATTAAACGCTTACAGATAAACCAGA